GTTCATAATGAAGAGTTATTATTTGGAGAATACGGACGTATCTCTTGCTCCCTAATGTGCCTGAAGGAACGGACACGGTTCGCGCTCAGTATCTCGGCGGCGCAGAGCTGCCGGAGCTTGCGCCAGTAGGTGCCGGACGGTGAGAAAAGGATGTCTGAACAGCCGTACATCAGGGCCTCACCAGCGAGGAGCCTGGGGCGGGTGGCGAAGTTGGCGTCGTGCGTCCTGAGCACCTCGCGAGCCATCTCCCTTGACGACACGACGACGAGAGGGGTCCCCCCGAGCTGGAGCATCATCAGCGGGCCGTGTACGCCGGCCAGGTCCCTCAGGGCGCGGTGCGGGAGCACGTTCAGGAGGTGGTGCATGCTGCCGATGACAGGCAGCCTCCATGGACCCGGCGGGTTCCTCACCTTGGGCTGGAGAGATAGTTTAAGGATCCGGAGTAGCACCACGGCGACGCCCAAGAGTAGCAAGGATTGGTATAGGAGATCGGCCATGGCTGTTTGGCCTTCGGAATAGTGCAGCTGAACAAGAATTTTTTGTTGCCGATGTTGTTCGCTCTGCGTGCATCTGGACAGGGGCGTGTCCACGTATATATATAACCCAAGGTGGCCATGCACGCATGCAGTGCCATGTCCATTGTGGGCGATCGATGACTTTCTTTGGTGCAGATAGCCGTCTCATGAATTGAATTGTCAAGTCCTCGGTCAGTCGGTCTGCATTGCTACTACGCCCGCCCATACTCCATACTTACTGACTTCTCTCTTTCAGCTTTGATTCTGGCCTGTTAATTCAAACAAGTTTCATTTGACCAACTCCTTGTGTACTCCTCCACAACAATCTACCATTCGGACTATCCCGCCTAGCCAGTGACTACCGAATCATGACAGGGACATAAATAGACCAACATTGATTAGGTGGCGGCTTTAAACCGAGAGGGGAATAAAACGGAACAACATTGATTAGGTGGCGGCTTCGGAAGATAGAGAGTCTTAGCATCCTGGGAGAGAATTTTCAACAACGCTGTAAAAAGAGAGGAAAAATAGTACTTAGAGCATCTCCGGCAGCCGCGCAACACACGGCGCGCTAAAAAATAGTTTGCGGCGCGTCCATCGTCAAATTTAACGCGGCGCACAGCGCTGGCTCCAGCAGCCGCGCTAAAATACAGTGCGCTGCTAAAATGCAGCACGCATGAGCAGCCGCTCATGTCCATATTGGTTGCATTTTGAACACAAAATAAATTTCACATAAATATAAAAAACAATACAAAGATATTTTACATAGTTCATAGTATAGATAGATAAACAAGTTCATAGCATAGATAGATAAAACCGAACTACGGTACAACTACATAAAATTAAAATAAGGTGCAACTAGATAAACTACGGTGAGGCTAGAACTACTCCGAGTCCTCATCATCATCATCATCCTTGGTGGTGTTGTCCGAGGTATCAATCCATATGTCCTCCCAACGTTCATCGTCTGATGTGAAGATCGATCTCCCACCTACTTCAACGATATCGCACTGCGATATTGCCAATGCCTTCCGTCCTCTCCGCCCAGTAGGAGCGCTCGTTGGCGACGTCCTCCGGGTGGCGCCGGCGCCACTCCTCCATGGCTCGCTCGTCCTCCTCGGCGACGAGGCAGCGCTGCAGCCGAAGGTGGTCTGCACGGTCCTGGTCCGTGATCAGACGAGGCGGAGGGGCGACGGCCTGCGCCTTTTCGCGTGTGTAGACGCCCCGGAAGTTCATCTGCGATGGAGGCCTCTCTAGGCGCCACGCCGCCGCGTCGTACGCGTGGGCCGCCTCGTGTGCGCTTCGGAACGTGCCAAGGCCGAGCCGGACGTCGCCAGACCGGATCTCGACAGAGTACCAGCCGTTGGGGCGCTCGCGGACGCCGCGGTAGCTCAAAGATCCCTGGCGGCGCGGCGGCATGGTGGCGCGGTGATGGCGGGGCGCTAGAAGCCGCGAGAAAGCGGTGAAAGCGGCAAGGTGGCGAGGGGATGGGCGCGTGGCAGAGCGCATGGCCAGCGCCGCATTTTATAGGCGCGCGAAGCGACGCGCCAAATCTACCGCGCGAGCTGCCGCTATCTCCCCCGCGCGTGCAATCGCTTCGCGCGCTAGTTTCCCGCCTCTGCTGAAGCGCACAAAAACTTGCCGCGCGCGCTAAAATGTTAGTTTACCGCGCGCACGTCTTTTGACATGTCCGTTGGAGTATGTATTACTCAACAACCAAATTGGTCGTAAGAAGCACCTCGGCCCAGCTCCACACCAGACTTAGCATTAGCATACAACATTACCGGTCCCGTTCTACGCGAGAAGAGTCTCATATCACTAAACATTCTGGTGCGTAATACAATGCATTGAACTATGTACCTCCTTAACATCAGCACCACAAACCTCTAGACTTCTTTTTTTTAGGGAAAAAGGAGTTTAATTTCATATGGCAAAATATCCTCAATACATGATGGTCCTACATGCATATAAGCAGCCGTGGTAAAATACGACTATAATTTGCCAAATGATTGGCAACTCTGTTTTGATCCCTATTCAACTTCTAAGTAATAAGCCCCATGTGTCTCAACAACTCCTTAATTTCAGTCACGACATGACCACACGCAAAACGATCAGGTCCGTTCCCTGATAGTTAAGACAAAGCCTCACTTAATTCAGATTGAACGATGACCGGAAAAGTGGAATGTCGTATAGCTAGCGCCACCCCTTGCATTATTGCATGAATCTCAACTTTCAGTGAATCAATACAATTGGAAATAAACCGATATGATGCAAAAATAACTGAACCATCATATCGTCGAAGAATCATTCCTGCCACGCTGCGCCGGACTCCACTGAGAAAGAACCATCAACTGATAAAGCAACGTACTCAAGTAACTGGTGAGGTCAAGTTTTAGGAACATGGGCCATTCTCACTTCAGGCAAAGCCAAAATCATCAACCAACATTTTACCTTTAATTATTTCCTCTGTGATGTACATTCTAGACTTCAGAACAAACTTTTACCCCGCTTTATAGATACTAGAAAAAGAGACTGCGCGTTGCAATGGGTGGAAAAAAAATACCACAATCCCAAAACCCAATAACCATGACTCCAGACTGTAATGGATACACGTCCTTTATTTCAACAAATAGCATCCCATCTGTATTACCAATTATCCTCTTTTTCATTCTTGCTGACGGTGGCCTCGGTGTTCAAACAGTCACAACACGTTTGAATGTTTTCAATCCTTAGACGTCTCCTCGG